TACTGAGTATACAGAGTACTTCAAAAAAGTGTGGCGGATATAAGACATGTTTTTTAAACGCAACACCCTATTTTTTATTTTATTTTTAGATTGTGCATAAAATTCTATAACTTTTTATATATAATGTTATATACCTAAAATAATAGTTTTTGTAATATTTGAATTTGATTAAGCAAATGTTGGATTTTAGTGTGGTAAAAAATTGTCAGTGGCCATTGTTTATGAAGTTGGAACATTTTCTATAATATTTGAGCAACAAACAAATGAGTTAATGGACTTTACTCTATCGTTGACTCACCCTGTACAGCAAAAATAAATAAAACATTTTGCTGCAAATTATGATCTGATATACAGGTGTCTTGTAATATATTGTGGTGTGTCTTATAATATTATCTTCTTCTACTGACGTTGTCCTTAATCTTGAGGAATATGTACAGCCTATTGTTGTCCTATCATAATATACTTCAAATAACTCTTGAATAGGTGTCACTGTCAAGAACCTTCAAATAACTCATGAATATATGTCACTGTCAAGAACTTTCTAATGCCTTAAGGAATTTTATAATGAAGATGAAATTACCTATATTTTAAAATTACCTTACATAAACTGAAAAGGCTAAACAAAAAGGAAATCAAGATCGCGTAATATTATACCTCCCCTTAATGGCAGAGACAAGACAAATATTTTGTTAAATTTTAATTTTGCTTTTTGGTATGCAGCTTCGCGATGCTGTACGTATTTTTCTTTGTCCTGTTACTTTTTTGAACATTTTTAAAATAATAATATTATCACAGTTGGAATGGAGTGACCCAAATAAATTTCTTTATTTTATTTTATATAATGTATTGAGTGCTTCTTTTAGGAGACACATTGACGCTAATAGTATTAAAAAAGTAGAGAAACTAAAAAAGAGTGTCCTCAAGGGTCCGAAGAAAAAAAATATTTATACAAATTTCCAAGTTAGTCTTACACGTGGAACAGAACGTATGTAAATTTATTCATTTTAGGGACAACAAAGAAAATAAAACAAAAAAAGTGTTGCAAATTCAATTCGTTTCTCCTCTATTATATGTTTTTATTTTGCTTGGGACATCCAAAAAGGACAAATTAAATTTTTATTCGGTAGAAAATTTGGAATTTTTAACGTAAATAATATTTGCATACGTAAATAATGTTGAAGTTTTTCATCTAAGGAATTTCAATTTACCCACATTCAAAAATTTTTATAGCGCCATTCATAAACTTCAGCATAAATGAGACTTTTTTATAACTTTAATATTTGATTCTTTTTCCTAGAAATAAGCATAAAAATTATTATGTAATAAACGTTTTCAGAGAGAACTTTTTTGAATTCTGTTTTATATACGATTTTTAAAATTTCAGGTCAATCTTTTTTAAAAGGGTTTAATGTACCGTGTGATGAAGTTGGTATCTAATTGAGTGAGTCTACAATTTTGCTTTAAATTTATTCTCTTATTTGCCGATTAGCTTAGAATATTTGATGCTCTTTTTATTAAAATTATTTTTATGCAACTTGTTTACAACCTTAAGGAATTACATACAGAGACATACGTTGACCGGTGAACGTTACTTATGCATTTTAGGGAATGGTTTTCAAAACATGTTAAAAACTTTAAAAAGATGTATTTTATGTACTCAAAACAATGGGGGATTTTTTCAATTTTTTTTTCTAAAACAACTTAAAGTGTATATGTTACGGTTAAGGTCCAATATCCAGTTAATGTTGACATTACCCGGTTAATCTCGAGAATAACACAAAACAAAACAACCGAAAACAAAACCAAACCCAAACATTAACCAGTTAATATCGACATTAACCGGAATCGGACTATAACAGTAACATATATACAATCTCATTGATGACGTGATTATCTACAACTTTTATCTGAAAACTTTAAAATAGCCAAAATTTGATTTTTTTGAAAATTTTAGCAAGCCATAAACTTCGAAAATCCGAAAGGCGCATATGTTTGTCCTCACAAAACTGCAATTCTTTCCACTTTTGACCGACTCTCTAGCTTCAATAGTTTCCGAGATACCTATAGAGAACATCGTAGAACACTTACCCTGTATATGAAACAATTACTTTTAAATAAACATGTAATTATATATCCTACATGCAGGGAGTTTTCGATATCTCCGTAGAGACTATAAAAAAGGACAATCTTGTTTTAACCCTTTAAGACCGGTCTGTCCGCATTTATTGCGCCCTTATGCAATATCTTGCACGTTGTATTATTGTATAGGGGCTTAATAAATCGTAACAATTTCTCAGGAATTCCCCCAGCTCTTAGTATAGGCCATATTGCGGAATGCCTTAAAGCATCAAAAGCGGCATGGAAGTCTATAAATACCAAATAGAACGTGGAATGGAATTCACTGGAGTTTTCAATTATTATTCCGAGTTTTGATGGGGTTTACATATGATTTGCTTTTTCTGAATTCCGAAAAATTACACAAATTGTTTTGAAAAAGTTTTATATCAGGTTCCTATTTGGAAGTTTTAATTTATTTTTCAATATATTGGACTTTTAAATACTGCTGTGATGCTTTTTCTTAAGTCTTAAATTACTGCAAATATTTTTAGGGATGATATATTTCGACCCCAGGAACACGTCTATGATTACAGTTGAGGGTTGGAACCTTTGGTGTTAAACAGCAAAATAAAAACACTAAATCACCACAATACACCAAAACACTTTTACTTTTACACTGGACGCGCGTTTCGCTAACCATGTTAGCATCATCAGCAGATGATTATAAACTAAAGTACAATCTACAAGTTGAGCGTTTATATACACGCCCAGTGGGCACCGAGTGGGCGTGGCAAAATCTAGCCAACCGAGTCAGAGCCAACTGAGCGTAACAGTTAGATTTCCGCCACTAGAGTAGTAGGAAAAAAGAACTTGAAGGAATTGGACCGTTGTCTCTGTTCATACTATCTTTACATTTATTAATTCTGATGCTTTCATATGCATCTAATTGCCTGTAATTTGAGGCTTGTTTATTTAATTTTAAATTATTAATATCCATACAATGTTCTTTGTCAACAATATGTTCGGCAACGCAAGATTTATCCGGTTTACCATATCTTATCTGAGCTAAATGTTCTTTAAATCTAGTTAATATTGATTTTCTAGTTTGCCCAACATATTTCTGATTACAATCTTTACAAGAAATTTCATAAATACCCGACCTTTCCAGTGGAGGTGTTTTATCCTTTGGATTACCTAATAATTGTTGTAATTTATTATTAGCACTATACACAAGTTTATAATTTACATTCTTCAAAATTCCTTTTAGACCACGGGATAACTCTCTATCAAACGGTATCGAAAAATATTTAGACGTATCTTTCTCCACTTGAAAAGTCGAATTTTCAGAAATCATTAACCTATACCTACGTTTTCTAATTAATTTATCAACTAGTAAAGGAGAATATCCATTACACTCAGCTACATTCCTAATGTAATCTCTTTCTATTTCATATCTTTCGTTGGAAAGTGGGAAACTAAGTAACCTATGAACTAAGAAATTTAAACTAGCCATTTTATGTTCAACACTATGATGTGATTCATTAGGAATATATCTGCGTGTGGTCGTATTTTTCCTATAGATATCAAATGCCAGGCAATTATTAGTATTTCTAATAACTAATACATCTAGAAATGGTAATCTGTCGTTGTTCTCAATTTCATGCGTAAATTTAATGGAAGGAAAACGATTATTTAACTTAGAAATAAAATTATCTATAGTGTCTGAATGTGTGTCAAAAACAGCAAAAATATCATCCACATACCTAAACCATACTCTTGGAAAATACTCAAACTGATTCTTAGCCTCCACTTCAAACCTGCTCATGAATAAATTAGCCAAAAATGGAGACAATGGATTACCCATTGCTGTACCTTCCCGCTGTTCAAAAAAGTTGTTATTAAATTGAAAACAATTTTGTTTCATACGTCTATGAGTTTTTTTTGTGAAAAAAATAAAATATAATGTAGGTATATAATATACACAACAACATTTTTTGTCAAGTTTGTTATGTTTTTTTTTAATTTTAGCTTTATGTTCTTTGCTAGAGATGAATTTTATTGCAATCTATAAACTTTCATTCATAAACTCAGTTTTTTATAAACATAAGAGAATTACTTAAAATAATTTTTGGCTTATTATACAGGGTTAATTGAAGGGTTGTTTTTTACCTTAACCCTTCTTCTTCAAGGGCCAAGCGAATATTCATAATTTCGGCAATTTTCAACTATATCAATGACTTTTGTACAGTATTCGACACCAAGAACCATATTCTATCGTACACAACAATAATCACCAAAAAGTCACCTCGTCATTATGAATAACATCAAAAAGTAACGATAATTGAAGAAATTGCAAAATGTTTGTGGAAAGTTCGTTTTGTTCTTAAAAATTAACCAAAATATGTGTTGACGTAAGTCAGAAATAAAATATTCAGGAAACATGGTTCTGGCCGAAAAATATTGTTTTAGAAAATTTCCTCACGAAATTATTGCACAGGGTGTTTTAAAGACACGACAAAAAATAACTCTTCGATTAACTCTGTATAATAAGTCAAATACTGAAGTTTATAATAAACTGAGTTTACGAATTAAAGTTGATATACAGTGTGTTAAAAAATGAAAAAAAGATACAGGCTGAAAATAAAAAAAAAATATAACATTATACAATTGACCAAAAAATTTTCCGTTGCCTTTTTCTGTGCTTGTAGATGAAATAAAATTACACTATAAAAACCTATTAGGCTATGCTTTTTTTTTCTAATAGGTCTTTATTTTATTAAGAGTTAGAATTCAGCATCGGAGAAATTATTCTCTAATACAGTGCTCAAAGTTTATTTAACTCTCTTGTTATCAATAAGCAAAAACTAAAAATTTATTTAAAAAATCTTAAGAAGCTTTTACCAAAACTGTATGTTTAGTGTAATTTTTAAAATTAATCTTACCTGCACTAGTACTTTTCCACATTATTGATAAATATCAGCAAAACAAGATCAAATTTTCTTCTAGAAGTCACTGAAATTAAAAAAGAAATATATTATTATTCAGATATATTTATTGTGTTATATTACGATTTATAAATTAGATAAAAAAAATAATTTTCTGAAGAAATGTGTTAGATTCTCAAAATTATTTCTAATTTTCTTTAAATATAATATTCCTTATGTTCATGTTACCACTATATCCCGAGCCATGAATAAGGGGTGATATATTTGTTATTTAATTAAAACCATATACGTCATGTAAGTGTGAAATAATTTGTCTGTTCCATTCTAGGACAATTAATATAGGCAATAAAAAATAAATTAACTTTTAAACTCTCCATATTTTACGGCTGCTGTCTTTTGTTCATTGTGAATTATGGGAAATGGAAAATTTGTGTGGGAAAAAGCTGTTGAAAAAATGTGCGCCCATTAATCGTTGCAATTTGACATACGGTGCCTGTCTGTTGATAAAATTCGATGTTGCACCATGTGCATATGGGTTTTGTACGAATCGTAGCCAAATGATTAAAATACGAGTAGTTCGCGGTAATGGTTTTGTTCACAACGTATATAACTGACTCGAAATTATCAAATGACAATTTGATATGTAATTAGCGATTGGAGTTACGAAAAGCGTATATGTTTATTGCATGTTTGTTTCACAAAATTGATATTCTTTTTGTCTCAGTCCTTACTATTTATGATGAAGGTTAAAACGTTCCGTACGCTTATTACTGTTGTCTGAAGACTACAATAGTCTATATTTTTTTATTCTACGCCTTTTAATTAGTAAAGATATGACGAATATCGACAAAATTCACGGAGGAAAGTCGAAAAAATTACCATTTTTGGCCTTACAAACTCAGTAAACATACTCATAAAATTGCCAATTTTAATGACTGGAAAAATATCGAAAAACTGCCCATTTTTGGAGATTTTTTACACATTTTCTGAGGCCTTTGAAATCTAGTAAACAGAGTCATAAAATTATGAATATTTTAGCATTTGTAGGGAATTTTACGTAGATTTAGAACATATAAGGGTCGAAGGCTTAGGTACCTTGGTTTTGTGGGAAATTATTTTTTTTTTGAAATCTTGTTTTTCAGCTATTTTTGATGAAGGTTTAAACGTCCCTTACGTCTATTACTGTTCTCGCAAGACCACATTGGCCTATATTTTCTTATTCTACACCTTTTAACTAGAAAATAACAGCAGGTTTAATATCAATGACATGACGAAAATCGCCAATTTTCATATACTAGGGCTGGCATTTCTGGTCTTGGATGCCGATTTTCGTGTGTACGAAGAGTACGGTCAACATGCTTAGCAAAATTAGATGTACAGAATAAAGACAGAAGACAAGTGTTTTCCCAAGCGCATGGAATCTATCGTCAGATTAAGTGGTTATGTAATAAATACTTCGTATTTTTGCTCGCTTCGACTAGATTGCCATAGCGATTCACTCCTATACATGTAAACGCCGAACCAAGGTTTTGCTTACCAGCAGGGTATGGAAAAATGTCAAGAAACTTAGATACCTGAAGAATTAATTTTTCGGACTCCTGTTTCAGTTTATTGCATGTTTGTTTCAAGAAATTGATATTTTTTTGTGTCAATCCCTACTATATGATAAAGGTTAAAACGTCCCTTACGTCCATAACTGTTCTTGGAAGACTACAATGGTCTATATTTTTTTATCCTACACCTTTTAGTTATTAAATAGCAGCAGTTCTAACAAAATCGGGGACGCCATGTACACATTCCTATAAGAGTAAGTAATATACTGATCCAGTAATAGGTAAAAAATTACTTATTCGAAATATTTTTCTTTTAAGTTTTTAAGAGCCAATCATTATTCAGAAGGCGTCTGTCTATCTGTGGACTTAACTCGAGCAAACAAAAACTTCCTGTATATTTATCCATTATTAAATTAGGATTCTGTTGAAAATGATTAAGATTTAATCTTTCCTCTCTAAAAATAAATTAAATTTAAATTCTCCGTTCCAAACAACTCCTTCCTAATCCTCTTCAGGCCAATTTAAACGATATTTGGCGAATGTGAGACGTGACTTCGTTTCTCTTAGATAAAATAGCTTTTTTGCTTGGCTCTGTGCCGTATAGAGAGGTACAACAATCTGAAAATTCGATACTAAATATAATTTTATTATAAAACTTATTGTGACTTATGGAGCTTCTAATGTTCAGGGAAATATACCCTCTGAAAGCATTTTTTGTTGGTTAGGAATTTTTTTTCAGCAGCAAAATACTAGAATTTTCTCAAGATATTTTTTCCTATATAATACTTTATTGTATTTTAGATTTAACTACGTAATTATTTTATTGTTTTACTATATTTTTTGCTTAATTTTTATTAAGTTTATGAAAAATTTCAGTATTTCAAAAATTTATTAGCGATACATTACTGTTTTTTGCCTTTTCGACTAAAGAGTACAAACAACTTGAAATAAAAGCAAATCGAAAGTACAAAATTTCGATGCATTGTAGTTGACTCTAATAGCATGCAGTTTTACCCATTAAGACCTGAACTCATACGGAGTTCTTCTGACCTTTTCAATTACATTTTTTGTTTTGCTTTGGTTTTCCGCATTTTCTGGTTGTTTGATTATTCTTTTTATTCTTTATTTTTGCTTTTGCGAGCTGCGTTTTTCTGCTAAATGTTCCCCAAAAGACAATATGCCATTTGAAGTATTTTTAAATTTGGATTAGAGGAAATTCTTATTTAATCATAGTAATATTTTGTTATTATGGTATAATACGTTTTTTTTTCATTTTTAATTTAAATATTTAAAATCATTGGTATTTCACCTACGTTATAAAATTCCCTACATCTCCTTTTATAGAGTATTTGTATTTTTTTAAATATAATAATTTTTATTTGCACAACACAGTTTCAAATAAGAATATACCTATTTAAAATATTGATTTTATATTCACAAAATCTTTTTTTGTAAAGGTATACGGAAATCTGATAAAGTTTTTTAGGCCACGAATATAAAAGACGCCACACTGAGATGAAATTGGTGATCAATAAGGAAAGGTGCCAATCTGATAATCTTATTTGCAAGGTTTGGATTGACCATTTGACACAAAATTGAATTTTATATATCTTTTAACTCGTATTTAGATTTTAGGATAACTATAGAAAAAAAAACGCATTAACAACAAACTACTAATAGTAATAACGAATAATAAAGCAGTGTAATAAAAATGACAAGGACGCCATTTGAGAGCCTTTCAATCACATACAAGCCACCAACTACTCTGTTATTTCCAACTAAAGACTAAGTTACATAATCTTTGCCTTTTAAGGGTATGTCATTACTTATCTAAGCCATTAAGGACAGTTATGTCTTAACGGGGTTGATTAAAGCTAGATTTAAGAAAGAATTTGCCCGATAAATTCGTTAGCCCAAGTTTGAAACATATAATGGACACGAACTTCCTTCCTAACTGTACAAAAGATATCTTGCAGCAGCGAGGAAATGTTAATACCAATTTCAGTAAAGTTGCCTGCGTAACATTCAAATCTCAAAGGGTCAAAATATAGGAGCGTTAGCCACAGGTGTTACCGTTTTGGCAAGCTAGCAGAGCTGGAAAGCTTCAACTTCTAACTTTGTTCTAATTTAGCCAAATTGCCAATAATTTTAAGCTTTATAAATCCATTAGGCAAAACGAAATTGTCTTGGCATTTTCTTTAATGTATACAACAATATAAGATAAAAGGAATTTAATATACAGTAGCATAATTTCGTACTCCCAGAAGGATATTAAAATCTGAATCTACATTATATACATTGTAACATACCAATAAAACCGAAGTTATAAAATTAATAATAAAAGATACCTTTTCAAATTTTGTTGTTAAAATATCGTCGAGAAAACCATAAAAAATATAATGATTAAAAACGTTTAAATATTTAAAAAACAGGTTAACAATACGGCGATTTGTTCGATCATATTTATTGGTATTTTAACCGATATATAAATTATTAAAGCTGACTTCCCCCATTCAATTTATATAAATTTACTAAAACGTTGTTTCAAATCTTTATGATATATCCGTACGGATCCGTAAAAAAATATTATGCTCGAGAGGCTGATAGATATTTATTGTCAGATAAAAAAGAGCAATATAACGGCAGAGTTGGTTAAATTTAGCTTTAAATATATTTTTGGGAATATCGAATAGGTTTGTTTAGATTTTTAGTTAAGTAATATTAATTGTTACGAATAAATTTTATATTATACAGCGCCTGATTTTTAGAAACAAGTTCCTCAATTTCAATTAGTACTTGTTATGTTTTTTTAGTGTTATGTTTTCACATGGTTTTGAGTCACATGGTAATTTTCTTTTTCTTCAATAATCGCTTTTTGTAAGATTTTGACAGTGCTTTTCTTAAACTACTGATATGTACATAAGAGAGGCATCTGTAGCTGCTATCACACATCGCACAGATATCTCGATCTTGTATTTAACTTTGATTAAAGTTCTGTAAGTCCCTAAGTTGAAAAAAGTCATGTTTAGAACTTTTCGCATTATGAAAGTTCAGTAACTTCAAGAAATTATTCTTATATTATAGAACGTCTCGACTATGAACGACTTTCAATAAAATTATGCCTTTCAAAAAATCGTTATGGAAACTAGTTCATGTCTTGGTTTAGAAAATGTATAATTTTTATAAGCATAGAACTGAAACATAGTTGCAGCCTCGTGTATGGATCATGAACATTTAAACTAATCACCCAGCACAAACACTGACCGTTATCACCAAAAATGTTAATGTATTTTTAAGTTCATTATATTTTTTTCTAGTGGGCCATTTTTTTAGCAATTTGTAGCTAAAATTTTTGACATTTTAGACTCTTTCCAGACAGTCCAATATTTTAGCTACAAATAGCTTAAAAATTCATGAAAAATCTATTTATCTTTAAAATATATAAAAATTTTAAGGTGTTGCCGATCAGCATATGAATTTACTTTTAAGTAGTCAGCTATTATTTCCGAGTATT